TTAACAGTGTGCTCGGTGCATGTTTGGCAGCCCTACGTGCTACGTACGCACATCCTTGATTGAGAGTGGGTGGGCGCAGCAGGCCTCCCCCTGCCGCTGTGTCGGTTCATCGTGAGTGACAAGTAGAGGAGAAGACGAAACACAGACAAGAGTGAAGAGAGCGAGAGCTTGGCACGTCGCACGGCGAATCGCGCGCTTCGTTCTCTCGAATCTGGGCGGGCGTCAGAGGCCGCGCCCGATTTTTTCTTTTGGAAACATCCAGAGGGGGAAAGCCAAGCCATCACTGACCGCCAAGGTCTGACCGCCCGCCTCTCTCCTCCCACCCACGCGCGGGCGCGCGGGGCGGGCGGGCAGAGCGCGCGGCTGCGCGCCTGGGCGGGCGTCCGCGCCACCCGCCCCCGGCCCGGCCCGCCGCGTCCGCGCCCGCCCGCGACCCCCCGCAGGCGCGCGCGCGCGCAGGCGACGCGTTCCTTCACCCGTCCGCCCCTCTCCCCCCGCAGGACAGCCATGCAGATCTTCGTCAAGACGCTGACCGGCAAGACCATCACGCTCGAGGTCGAGCCGTCCGACTCGATTGACAACGTCAAGGCCAAGATCCAGGACAAGGAGGGCATCCCGCCCGACCAGCAGCGCCTCATCTTCGCGGGCAAGCAGCTCGAGGACGGCCGCACCCTCTCGGACTACAACATCCAGAAGGAGTCGACGCTGCACCTGGTGCTCCGCCTGCGCGGCGGCATGCAGATCTTCGTCAAGACGCTGACGGGCAAGACCATCACGCTCGAGGTCGAGCCGTCCGACTCGATCGACAACGTCAAGGCCAAGATCCAGGACAAGGAGGGCATCCCGCCCGACCAGCAGCGCCTCATCTTCGCGGGCAAGCAGCTCGAGGACGGCCGCACCCTCTCGGACTACAACATCCAGAAGGAGTCGACGCTGCACCTGGTGCTCCGCCTGCGCGGCGGCATGCAGATCTTCGTCAAGACGCTGACCGGCAAGACCATCACGCTCGAGGTCGAGCCGTCCGACTCGATTGACAACGTCAAGGCCAAGATCCAGGACAAGGAGGGCATCCCGCCCGACCAGCAGCGCCTCATCTTCGCGGGCAAGCAGCTCGAGGACGGCCGCACCCTCTCGGACTACAACATCCAGAAGGAGTCGACGCTGCACCTGGTGCTCCGCCTGCGCGGCGGCATGCAGATCTTCGTCAAGACGCTGACCGGCAAGACCATCACGCTCGAGGTCGAGCCGTCCGACTCGATTGACAACGTCAAGGCCAAGATCCAGGACAAGGAGGGCATCCCGCCCGACCAGCAGCGCCTCATCTTCGCGGGCAAGCAGCTCGAGGACGGCCGCACCCTCTCGGACTACAACATCCAGAAGGAGTCGACGCTGCACCTGGTGCTCCGCCTGCGCGGCGGCGCGTGAGCGCGCTCCCGCCCCTCTCCTCTGCCCATTGATCAATGGGCTTTGTTGACCGCCAGGCCCGAAAGAGCGGAAGTGCCCGCCCCTCATAGTTGGGCGAGCGTGACTGGTGC